AGGAAGGAAGGAAGGAAGGAAGGAAGGAAGGAAGGAAGGAAGGAAGGAAGGAAGGAAGGAAGGACACTTAAGATCAGGTTTCAGGCTTTTATGCCCCTAAAATACCCTCCTGTTTTCTTCCCCTTCATCTTTCTTCACAGGTTTTCCTGTGTAACTATATATTTCTTGTCTCAATCTTCCTTTCTTTTATCTTCTTCCTTCTGAAATGGTTCATAAGTTGTCTTTTAAGTATGGAAATCAGAATTATATAAAAGACACTTTATCATCAATATTTTAAAGTAAAGACTAGGTAGTTTTAAAAAAATAGCAATAAAGTATAACTGCTGATTCAATTATCCAACAAACTCTAAGTTAAAAATAAATATAATCTGGTTGGTTCAGCTGTGCAAATAAAATTAAATTTCAGAATACAACAACCATATATCATAAAACTTTACTGGCATTATAAGAGGTTCAGGCACAGGATCCCTTATCCAAAATGCTTGGGGTCTAAATTGTTTAAGCTTGGGGAGGCTTTCTAGATATTTCTGCAAAGACTTTAATGGTTGAATATCCTTACTCCAAAACTCTGAAACTTGAAATGTTCTGTTATCTGAAGTTTTGAATGCCCCTCAGCTGCTCAGGTTTCAGATTTCAGAGGATTCTAAATTTTAGATTATAGATATTTCACTTTTACTTCAAAATACAAAGGCAATGAAATTTTCTTGATTAGATTAGTACACCCTGCTTTTCTTTCCCAATCCTCCCATATTTCAGCTTATGTTGACAAAATCAAGGGTTGGAATCTGTTCCTTAATGTAGCTGCTGTAGTCTGAATGCTTATGTCTTTCCCCAAATTTCTATGCTGAAATCTAATACCCAATATGCGGCTATTTGGAGGTGGAGACTTTGGGAAGAGGAATGAATGGGGCTGTAGAGCACTTGTGAATGGAGCCAGTATTTGTATGCTATGTTCCCCTTCCTGCAGGCCTCTCCCATGTAAGGACACAGGAGAAGCCATACTCTGTGGACCAGGGAACAAGCCCTCATCAAGAGGGCATTAAATCTGCCAACACACTGATCTTGAATCAGATTTCTGTTGCTTATAAACTAATTGAGTTTTGTTATTTTGTTGCAGTAGACTAAACAAAGACATTGGTTTTCTGATATATTAAACATAAAAATATTTTCTCCCCTTTATCCAAATATTAAAATAAATTCTTTTTTGTTCATTATTATTTGACATTCTTAAATTCATAGGAAAATGGAATAGTAACCCCTGCAATGGAATCTGCTGGGGATCCATAGGATGCTGCCTTCATCAGAAGATCTACAACATTGCTCAGATTGTCTGATCTCTGCATTTCCCATGTCTCTATCTGGACTATCCAAAAGGCTTTTCGCCCTTTGTGGGAAGTTACAGGTAGCTGATTCCTGGTTCCCAAGTATCTTCACATCTCTCTCCTGAAAACTGCTGGAGTGCCATCTAGAATCTCTCTAGAAGAGAGTGTGTTCTTCATAGAAGCAGAGGGTGACCTGTTGTTAAGACTACAGAAAGGGTTGGGTTTCAGGGATTAAAACCTCATGAACCTGATTCTTCTACAATCTTCCTATGATTTTGTTTTTTCAAGACAGCCTAATCAAACAGAAGAAATGACTAAGCAATTCCAAAAAACACATTACCCTAAATATGTATTTCACATATTTCTTTGTAGTTATAATTATCATCTCCATTGGTACCTACTGGACTTAGTGAATTTAACATGAAATTTTCTTTGCAAGCTATACATTATCATGTGAAAGGAGAAAAAAATAAACCTAACAGAATACCACATCATTTATTCTTATCGATAACAAACTTCATAATATAAAGATAACATATAACGCTTATATATTGTCAATGTGAGGGAGGATGATAATCACACTTTAAATAATTTTACTGCTGTGGATATTAATTAGTATTTAGGAAATACTAATTTGTGTTAGTGGTTTAGTATTGAAAAAAGCTAAGCATCTTCTTTGTATCATAAGGGAGAGATAATATAGGACTCCATCTTAATCTTAAGGAAACCAGGGCTTACACCAATGTGCACAGGGTAGGTTTACAGTTTGATTTAGTCACAATGGCCCAACACAGGGTTAATTACACTAGAGCAAATGCCTTCTGCTGCCCAACTCTAACCTGGACCATTCTTTCTCAAGTGAAAACAAGAAAAATGAAATTTCTAACCAAAAATAAACTGTGAATAAGGTCAATTTCTTTGGGCTAGAAATCCTTAAGGACTTTTCAATCAACAAAGGTCTATTTTGATACTCAGCAAAGCTTACCACTGTCCCAACAATCACATTCAACATGTACTTGAAGAGCAATAAGATACGTACACACATACTGAGAAGAGGAAAACCCACTGTGTGTACATGAAACACCTTTAATCTCTCCTTTCCTTCAAAAGGGAAAATATTCTGCATTGAAATGTTTTCTCTTTGCCAAATTAAAAATATTTAATAGAAAATATTTTCAGCTCAACTTAAAGTAAAAACCTATAATCTCAGCAAACTCTATAGAATGATTAAATTCGCTAGGTATTAGAAGGTCTCTTTTCTTGTAAACTAATTCTTATGACCCAAGGGTGGCATACTGAAAACAAAATACGTATCTCTTCATGAGAACAGAACAAATCTCAGAAAAGAGTAAAGCCTAGGCATAAAGTGCTGCGGGAAAGAGAAGCTGTCATTTTCCTCAAGTTCAGGGTGTATCAGAGTAGTAACTCAGACGACCTTGCCAAACACAAAATGCTGAAAAAAAATTCTGGGCCTGGGGATCCTGACTTAGCATGGCAGAGCCTGAGAATCTACGTTTTTAACAAATTCTAAGGTGCTGGAGATGAAGATGCTAGTCCAGAGATCATCTTGAGTACCACTTCATTTAACTTGGTCATGGCCTTCCATCTCTGTGGAAGGTTCAGGAAACTATGTCTAACCTTGCTTTGTGCTAGGGTTTCTGCTGACAAACATAATGAATTAATTAGCTTCCCAAAGTTTCTGCACCAAGGCTACATCCAAATTGTATATCACTTTTAAGAACATGGCAATTTTGTAGACAATATGTGAAAATAAAAAAAATTATCTATAGTCTCAACAGAAAGGTATATGATGCATAAGCTCATTGGTAGGTAGGACCTTGGATTTACTGTGTTTCATACACACACATAAACATTCCCATCCTCCACGCTTGGGACCAACCTGTGACTGGTGCATCGATATCCAGCAAGTTTTTTTCCTGTCGAAGAATTGAAGCACCCTCTGTTATTATTCTCAAAGCAACACTCTCTTCCAGCCTGCCCTCCTTCATGAGATGTGCTTTTAAGATATCCACACGAGGTTTTCCATCATTATCAAACACTTCCTTTGCTGTAAGTCGGTGACTTGGAGGAAATGGAACAGCTGAAAGAGAAGAAGTCAAATGCTTATATTAACTAAAACTCATCAAGAAAAGACTTGAGCACAACCACCAAACAGCCTTTTTATCACTAACCAGCTAATGATGTCTTTAAGAAGTTCTTGCATTAAAATACAATCAGGGTCTATCAAGAATTGAAAGCTGCCTTCTTCCTTTGATTCTAGAAATAATTAGTAATTATGGAAAGGAAATTTATAACACTTCTCACTCAGTACTATCATCTGAAAGCTAATGATTGAGTTTATTTATTTGTATATTTTTGAAGGAGAAAAATTTCTGTTAGGCAATAATCAACTCCCCAAATGATAACATTCCTGAACATACAATCATAATCTACCATGTCAAAGGCTGCTCTCCCCTTACAGGGACTGCAGCATGGGAAAAGCAGCCTGACAGGATCTGTGGTTCCAACTCATCCCATTGCTGTCAATTGTCTGCTATGAACTCCTCACAATTCAAGGAAGAGCAGGAACTTTAAAGCAAATCCCCCAAAATGATGAGGAAAACTGACCAGGAAGGCAGGATTTCCACTTAAAATTGTACTGAGGAATCTCAGTCCATAACGTGTTAACCACACAAACTTGAGGATTCAAGTTCCGTGCCCAGAATTCACATAAAAAGCCAAGAATTATGGTGGCCTGTGCTCATAAAGGCAGCACAGAAGATGCCTGAGGCCCAGCTGTCCAGACATCTTAGGACTCCCGGGTCCAAGTTAAAGACACTGTCTCAAAAATCAAGGTATTCGGCCCTCCTAAGGAGCCACTGAAGGGATTGACTTTTGGCCTCCACATGCATACACACATGCATTCTCCCCACACATGCATTCTCCCCACACACAAACGTGTAAATCATACACAGATACAAATAAAAGAGTGTGTTCTTGTATTGAAGAGACATTGTGGGGAAGCAGCTGGGGAGATGGCTCAGTGGGTAAAATACAGGCTACGTAACAGTGAAGACCTGCATTAGGGTCCCAACATAAAAAGCCAGTAGTCGTCACTCATCTCTAACTTTGGGGTGGGTAGGGAGGGGTGAGCACAGAGACAGGTAGATCTCTGGAACCCAGTGGTCAGCTCATCTAGCTAACAGTCAGTGAGTGACTGTTTCAAAACAGTTAGGAGAGCCATAGAAGAGGACATCTGACATCAACCTCTGGTTTCCATATGCATATGCACATGAGTACACATGAATATACATACATGCAAGCATGAACACACAAAACACACGAAAAAAGAGTGAGGAAACAATATAATGTTGGAGAGCAGACACAGGTGATCAGGAAAATGCCACAAATGCTACCATTCCTTCCTTCACTCACCCCACGGTGAGAATTTCTCTTGTAGCTACTGTCACTCTGATGCCTATGAATACACGCCTACAGCTCACTCAGACAGAATACATTCACCCAACTCCCAAACAGTACCAGGACTCCCCAAGATCCACGGTCAGAGACAGCATTACGAACTTCTGATAAGCAGTCCACGAGCTGTTTAGAAACACATAATTATCTCCTATTTCACACAAGAGTTCGTCCACCGGACAACTCAGATCTACTAACATTATCTGACAGGGGGCTTAAACACAGCATCATGGAGCCTGCCAGAACCATACACACAGTGCCATGTGCATAAGATCATCTCCAATAGGGCTCTTCTTTTAGCAAGAACACTTGATTTTAAGGAAAAGAAAAACAAAAAACCTGCCCTCTCACTATCCAACAGGGTCTCACACAGAAGCAAGATTTATGGAGATACATGCCAAAAACTTCTGTGCAACTCAACAGGATGGACTCATGATGGAACGAGCTGAAACTACTTTTTAAAAAATCAAGAAACAAACATTTATGGATGGATGCAACAATGATTTTCCTAATAATCCAACCAGATCCACTTACCAACGCTGAGGGGATGAAGAGGCAAGCAACAGACTCAGTGGGTGAGTAGGAGGCTTTTATGGTTAGCTGAAGGACCCTGGGTATAAACCTTGGCTCTGAACACTCAACAGCTCTGTGACCTTGGGTAAGTTAAATATCTCCTTGGTCTTCAGTTACTTTGCCTGTAAAGTGGGGATTATGTCCCCTTGTAGAGTGTTATAATAACTAAAGTAAATAGTAACAGTGGTAACTAAGAGTCATAGAGCAGTTATTTTATGCCAGGTATTGCTTTGGTAATAAAATCAGACACAACAGTAAAGCTGTAGGCCAAGTAAGGCACACGTATGCATGTTTATGTATAAACTCATTGAGTCCCCAGAACATTACTGTGAGAGAAAAACCTCAGACTCAGAATTATTAAGCACTTTGCCCAAGATAATCACCTACCGAGTTATGTGTAGATTCACTGAGTTTAAACACAGGGAGTAGGATGCCAGAATACCTGTGTTAACGATTAAACTACACTACTTCCCAGTGCTTAATCATTAAAAAGCACTTAGTAATTCTTTTCATAGAAATAAATTCTAATATTGGGTGATATTTCTCTCATAGTTAAACAGTTTTATTATGAGAAAACAGTATTTTCAAAAGAATATATTGGGCTACTTTATAAAGGACAAAATGCATAATGTCAGAGCACTGTAGAATTCAGGTTTCACACAGAGGAGAAAAGGAGGGTATTAGGTCATTGAATTCCAGATTTCTTTTGTTTATTTCCTGTATTTGTTTCGTTTTATTACTCTCTCCTGTACTTCTTGACTATATAAAATGTTAGGAAAACATGGAGAGCTAGAGAGATAGCTTGTTAAAGTTCTTGTGTAAGTGTGAAACCTCAAGTATGATAACCAGCACCCCAAAGAAGCCAGGCCTGATGGTATGCAATCTCAGTGCTGTGGAGGATGAGACAGGAGAATCCTTGGGGCACACTGGATAACAGCTTTGCCTATCAGTGAGCCCAAGATCCCACTGAGATCTTGTCTAAAAACCAAGGTGGCCACAGCTCCTGAGGAACGACAGCTGAGATCACCTCTGGCCTCCATATGCATTCCTACCTGCATCCCTACCACACACATATAACAAAAACACAGAGACATTCCAGTGGTCAGCTTTTTTAACCTAGGACTTTGTGTATGTTTTGAGATTTGCAAATATCTTAGTGGCCATTCCTCAAGTTCCTGAATCAGAAGTCAAGAAACTAGATGGAAGGGTACAGAAGGGGATACTTCAAAAACATCCTTAGGTCAAGGGCAAGGGCAAGGCAGATTTAAAAAAAAAAAAAAATCCCCCAAGGTGCAAGTTAGGCAGCTGGGAAATTTTAAATGGCTCTGTGAAACTGTCAGGCAAGAAGGACAGGTGCACAGAGGGAAGGAGATTTACTGTCAGGTAGATAAAAGCAGTGACCCCATTAAACTTAATGTACATCAAAGGATTCAACCTGAAATGCACAAAGCATTTATGGTGAAACACAGAGAGAACATTCCAGGACAGACACCCCTTGGGAAACGAACTTTCTCCTGGATGACTCTGGGCTCTCTCCAAGGCAATGATGGCTGCAGTAACAGATGTTCCACCTTGCTACACAGATTTTTCAAATATTACCTATTATATTCAAGTGTATACACACACACACACACACACACACACACACACACACACACATACACACACACGGTATGTGTGGGGACATATGCAGCGGTCAGAAGACAACTTTGTGCAGTCAGTTCTCTCCTATCATCTATATGTGGGTCCCAGGGATCGAACCCAGGCAGTTCTGTTTGTGCAGAACACGCATTCACCCACTAAGCCTGGCTAAGGGAAGGCTACCTGCTCTGCACTTTGAGAGCTGTTTCCAAACAAACAGTGGGGAAGGAAGGAGAGGAAAACAGTCAGTAAGAGGACTCTGTTTCCCACTGGCTGATAGGAACACTGATAAGATTGGGCCTTTTACTAGTAAGACAGATGGCAAGGCCTGCAGGAGGCAAGCTGAGCTGCCTTGATGCCAAGAAATATACATAGAGAATGCTGATGGCCAGAGAGAAGTTTTCTGGGACAAAAATAAGAGTGGACTAATATTTGTGTATTTGTGCACTGTTGGCTTCACAGCGAAAATGTCAGCCTTACAAAGGTCACGTTGATTTGCTTTTTCTCTTCACCTAGAGCCTCACAGGCAGACCTGTGCCAAATACTGAGCAAAAAATCTTTGGACTAAAGAACCCAATATGCCTAGAAAACATTCTATAAAACTAACTCATTGTATATCCATGCTCAGGTACCAAGGATCTCAGAAAGTAACCGACTGTGACTAGTAATAATCAGATACATAGAAATTAGAGACGCATGAGCAAACATCTAAGTGTTTGAACTGCGTTAAAAATTAGTTTTTCTGTACAAAACTATATTTCAAAATGAAATGGAGATCTTTTTTAAAGGGTAAAATCTCATTCAATTTTATATCTTATAGGGTTTATACTGAGCACAATAATGTATAACTGTATTAATTCAACACTGTGAACCTGAAAATTACAACTGATTTTGAAACAGATGTGCATTTTTGCTCTCGAAACTGTTATTCACTATGTCAGTGCTGTTGTAATGAAATGCTTCTACTAATTATGTGGTTATTAAATAATTTTTTAAGAAATGTTTAAAAAATAAAAAGATTTTAAAAAAGAAAGAAAATGCCTGTGCTTAATATAGCGAAGTTAGAGTCCCCTCCTTCCTTTGATCTGAGTCTTCCTACCAACTTTCACTGATATAAGCTGGACCCTGGAGAAGTGACATTTCTGAATGGTACTAAAATTTTATGAACAACTGTTGGGAGTTGAGCTAGCTCCTTCTGAAACAATTTTCTGATAATTACCTGTAATACAGAATATGTTGTGAGAAGCATTCCAAAGAGATGGGAAGAGTTTCCTCTATTCCACCATTCCCACTAAATATCACTTTCTTTTCCTCAAATTAATAAAGTGGTAAATATTAGCTAAAATGTGGGTTATGCAATTCTTTGGCCACTTATACCCAATCACTTTAAATACAATTCCGCTGAATAGC